AGCAGCGGCAGCGCCCGCCGCATCCCGCCGCCACGTCACGAGTCGGGCACGAGCACAGGGTGCACGAGAGCAACACAGAGCGCGTGCGCAGGGGCCCCGCGCGCACAAACAGCCGCAGAGACACAGACAGACGTACAGACACAGGCAGACTCGCACAGGCATACGCGCTTATCCCCCACCACCGAGTCACAAGGTCTCAGAGGGGTCGAGGTCGAGGCAGCTCCGGGGTCCCTCAGTCCCGGCCCGTGCTCCAGCAGGTCACCTGCTGCCAGCTGCCCACGGCCCTATCCAGATGCCCTGCAGTAACCCCAAGGTGGGAAAGTCTCAAACCTCCCTTGGCAAACCTGTACCATGGCTTGGGTACCCTCAGAGGAAAAAAAGTGTTTCCTGATGTGCAGAGAGAACCTCCTGTGCTCCAGCTTGAATCTCCCACCTCTGGTCCTGCCACCAAGCACCAGTGTCATGAACCAGGCTCCTTTCTCTCTGCACCCTCCCTCCAGGTATTTGCACACATGGATAAAATATCCCAGAGCCTTCTTTTCTCCAGGCTGAAAGATCGCAGCTCTTACAGCCTCTTGTCATGTGAAGGATTTCTGTGGGCCTTCATTGGCCTCTCTCCAGTACGTCCATGTCTATTGGACTTGCTTTTGGGAGCCCAGCACTGGACACAGCTCTCCAGAGGTGGCCTGACTGCTGCCTCCTCAACATCCCTTGACCTGCTGACAACACCTCTGATACAGCCTAGGACACCATTTGTCTTCTTTGCCTTAAGGACACATTGAACTCATGGTCAATGCGGTGTTCACCAGGACCACCAGGGTATTTTATGCAGAGCTGCTTTCCACACAGGTGGCCCTGGTGCTTGGGGTTGTTCCTTTCCAGGGACAGGATTTTGCACTTCCCGTGGTGAGCTATCTGAACTTCAGGTAGTTCCTGCCAGCACATTTCTCCAGCCTGTCCAGGTCCCTCTGGACGGATGCATGAGCGTCTTGTTAATCAGCTACTCCTCCCAGTTTGGTGTCATCTGTAAACTTGCTCAGAGTACTCAGCATCCCATCATCTGGGTCAGTAATGAAGATATTAAACAGGACTAGACCCAGTACTAAACCCTGAGGCACACTGCTCATTACTGGCCTCCAATGAGACCTTGTGCCACTGACCACCACCTTCTGGATCCAGCCATGCAGCCAGTTTTCAGCCACCTCAACATCTGCTTATCCAGCCCAGACATTAGCATCTTCTCCAGGGGAATCTGATGGGAGCAGTTGTCAAAAGCAAGTGCAAGTCTACCTGGAGTCCAGGTAGACAACATCCGCTGCTCTCCTCTTGTCTGCCAGGGCAGGTGTGCATACACATAGGACAATGTGCATATGCAAGTGCAGGTGTGCACACACAAGGGCAGATGTACATGAGTGGGTAATTTGGCCAGACTGTTTCACATTGGTGTGCTTACCTTGTGTCTGCTCTGGGGAAGGAGCACAGGCTCACTTGGTGCACTTATCTCCTCCTGGGAATGAGCAGGGGCAAAGGATGGACTACTTGCTTATCAAAGGCAACTCCCAGTCAAGGAGTTGGTGGTTCTTTGTGATCTGGCAGTTTGGAAGTTGTTACCACCCTGGTAACTGATGCAGCAACTGGGACAGGGCAGAGGTGCTGTAGCCAACAGTAGCCAGAAACCAAGGCTGAAGCTAGTAGTGCCAATGTAGCTGAGGAACAGCCCAAATCTGCAACAGCTGTTAGTTCTACCTCCTCTTCCCTTCTCTTAATTAACAGCACCGTGAGCCTGCTAGGTGCCAATCAGCACACAAGAAACAGCCCGGTCTTGCCTCCTCAAGAAGTGTAAGTTCATAGAATCATGGAATCATAGAATGGTTTGGGTTGGAAGTGACCTGAAAGATCTCCTGGATCCAACCCCTCTGCACAGACAGGGACACCTTCCACTCGATCAGGTTGCTTAGAGCGCCATCCAACCTGGCCTTGAATACTGATGGGGCTTCCACAACCTCTCTGGCCAAGCTGTTAGTCTTTAGAATCCTCTGATTTTGCCGAAGAAATCCCAGCTGCTTCCAAAAGGGTCAAAGGGCCCGGAGGTCCCTCCTCCCCAAGCAGGGACACAACCTTGGTAAGATTTGCACCTTCCACCTTGTCGGGCGTTACCTGGGAAGCACCAACTGGAGCTCTGTTCTGTGCAGTGTTTGATCGACGGCAATTGCTGAACTCGCTACATCTGCCGCCTTAATAAATTACCGCACTTTGCTACATCAGGCAACTGTCTCAGCGCAGACCCTCAGCGGGCCCTGGGACCGGCGCTCGCTGGCTCTGCTGGTGGCTGCGAACACAGCACTGCTGGGACACGAGCC